GGGCATGAAAAAAACTGAAAGAAAAAAAATTGCTGTAGAAGCAATATTGAGTCAGAAATTTCTAGTAAATTTCACAAACAATTACGTTGAATGGAACGAAAGAAATGGCAAGTAACAAATTGAATTAAACATTGAATTAAATTTTTTTTCTTGTAAAACACTCCAATAATCTTTTATTAAAGTTTTATTTAAACTGTCCTGATATCATAATTAAGAGAAAAATAATCCTTCTAAAAATTAGTGTGGCTTAGAGTTTATTTATTCTTTATTTTTATTCATAATATGTGAAAAATTTTATTAAAATGTAAAAATGTATTAATATTGTTAATATGTGATAAGATGTGAAATATGTTAAGTTAATATGTGGAAAAACTCAAACATGAATTGATGTTATTAAGTGATATTATTATGTTTATGATTCATAATGTACATAATTCATGGTATTAGTTTGAAAAATATATTTGTGTATTTATATATATATATATATATATATATATATATATATATATATATATATATAATTTATTAAGATGTCATTGACCCAAATACAATTGTTCCTGTTTCAACTATGGTTTAGAAAAATAAAATTCGGAAAAATTAAATATACTAATATTTACTAAACATTGTTTGGAATAAAATGAGTCATGAAAAATAAGACCAGGAACGTAAAAAGTCAATAAGGTTTTGATTTCAAGTTTATTTAATTAGAAACTTGTTTACCAAATGTGCATATGCCATTCCTCTTTCTTTTTGCTTAACCAGTAGGAATTAATGAAATGTAGCTGAAATAGACAGTGATTGTTATTAACATCCAAGGTCATATAACACTGATGTTTGACTGCAGATGTGCAGCGTGGGCCCAGAACCTCTGGAAGGCAGGACATGCATTGAAAACTTTCAGCTGAGATGGGATATTAGATGCTTCATATTTCTCCAGCTCGGGCTCTGTGAAAGTACTCACTTCACTGTAATTAACCAGAGGAGAAGAGTGCCTGTGAACGGCCCTTGATGTAATTCATTTGACCTCATAAAAAAGATGAGAGCGTGATTTTTGCCTTCCTCTCTACTGATGGCAGAACATCAGGATGAATAAATCTACATTTGTAGCACGTCTGACATCTAAGTCTTGTCAGTCTCCGGATTTGAGTATAGAGGAGTTTGCTAATCAAAGTTTAGGAGACGGTTTCATCTGGGTTTGATCTGCTTGACGAATTTGAGTGGTTGGAGATGTAGCATTTGAGGTTCAAATTAGAGCTGAAGAATCTGGATCCAGTGACTGAGAGAGATGGGAGTGATGGGGTGGCACCTGTTAGCAGTGGGTTACATTTTTATGATCGTACTGCACCATATGCACATTGATTGGAGAGATACATCTAATTAAAAAGGCCTCAGTGTTTCGCATACTATCCCAACTTGTCCCATACATCTAGCATGGAGGATTGCAGTAGTATACAACCCTCTTTAGTGACTGTGCCTATGGAGGATGGGTCAGGGTTGACTAGTTGTCTGATAACTGACTGATAGATTTGAGAGGTTGATTAGTTTAATTTAGTAGATTTTTAATTGTTGTCTTTTTAAAGAAGCTTGCAGAGTGATTTTAGTGTGCTGACAGTGTAAGGTCCCCCCCCCCATCTTTTTGATGCCAAGGACCCCCAAACTATGATAGTCTCCTTACAAAAGACTACTTCCCCTACACTGCCAAAAAAAATAAAACAAATCGGTGTAGAAACAGTTTTCACTCAGAAACTGATGGTAAATAAAAAAATAAATAAATTGGCAAGTAACATATCAAATGTGAAATTTTGAAGTAGGACTGAAATAATATTTTCTTGCAAAACATACTCCAATAATCTTTGTTTTATTTTCAACTTCGAAAAAAACATTTTTTTGACAGTGAACCTAAAGTTTTACATCTTCATGCATACAGAACTATTCACACTGTGTGTGAAATATTTGAGTTAAAATATTTATTTTTATTGAATCAATGGACTTTTAATTCGATTTTAATTTAATTTTGACATTTCACTAAAGTCAAACCAAATTAATATATATCATTAAAATATATAAATAAAAAAAAATTTAAAATTCACTTTGATCTTTTTTTTTACTCGCTATTAATGTTAGATATATAAATGATGTATAGTTCATTAAATGCATAATTCAATAAACCTTTTAAGTTAATTCTGTTAATTGTAATTGTTTTGTATTTTTTAATCTCTGTGAACAAACTCAACTCGCTCTGACGACTCTAAATTCATCCCTACAAACAACAAACCTCCTCAAAAAAAACAAAAAAACAATTACTACCAGCATTTCTCACATATGAAACCCATTATATTTAGTAAATATTATGCCAGATTGTTCAGATACTTGTCAGGGTCCGGCGTCTGGTGTTCTCCCTCTCTCCTCCAGAGGGCGCCAGCTCCCGGACTCCCATTCCCCAAACCCCATACACCTGTTCACTCATTACACTAATTCCCCAAACTCCACACACCTGTTCAGTCACTCACTCATCACACTCACCCTCAGCTGTGCCCCGTTGTCACTGACTATATCTTCTCCTCTCACTCACCACTCAGCCTGGCTGTATTGTGCATGTAATGGTGTTCGTCGTCCCTAGACCTGTTTTTGTTTTGCCTTGTTGGCCTTTCTGTTTGGAATAAAAAAAGTTTTCACCTGCATTTGGACCCAGACCCGGTTTTTCCACGGTGCCCGTTACCACCTGTGACAATACTACGTTCTATTCACACTCACAATGGCTTTCCGCAATATTGTATCCATATTGCTTCCATTCACACATCAGCGCCAAAATGTCATTTGCCGGAAGTGAGCTTTAAACAGTTCTACCATTTAGCATTTGTCTATTTTAGTGAAATTTCTTTCCACAATGTAGATAATCGTGTTTTTTTTTTTGTTTTTTTTGACGCACAGGTTTACAACTAAACGGCATGGAGCCGGAACTTCATTAGCTCTTTCAAAACTTTGTGATTGGCTTAAAAATATATGGAAATGGCTGTATGAAACATGTCTTATAGGTATCCAAATCAGCCTAATCATACAAAGCTAGTTCAGACTGCAATCTGGTCAATTTTGAAAATATGTAGATTTGCACTTTAAGTATTATTGTTTCTGTGTAGGCTGCATTGTGTATAGTAATTGTGTTGTAAATGAAGCTCTGTTGGAAAAGGGGATTGTTTGCTCTGGATTATGACTAATGTGGGTGGCTGGAAACAGATTGGAGAAATTTAAATGTTCTTAGGGAAGAATATTGCATCTATTTCTGAGTGGCTGAAAGTACTGTACGTGCATCTAAACTGAGGAGCCGGGAGGCTGGAAGAGAGAGAGAGAGAGAGAGAGAGAGAGTAAGAGTGTGTCTGGATCGTCACCGTGTCACGTGACTGTCAGGTTTCCTTGGAGACAGCAGCAGTGTTGTGCATTGAGATGCTCCTTCAGTTGAGCACAGAACAGGACAGGCAGCTGGACAGAGCGGTCACCGCTTACGTCTCACCGCTTGACAGACGGCCACTCTTTGCCTTGCGGGAGGTGAGTGAGTAATTGCATAGAACAGAAGCGCTTTATTAATATAAAATGAGTCTTTTGTGGTTTTAACATGCAGTTATAGTAAAGGTCTAGCATGTTGTTGGGGATTTTCTTGCCATGTGTTGGATCACTTTGCTCGATGCTGCTTACTTTTTGCTTTAAGGTCTCAGAAGGATGCCACAGCTCGGCTGCTCGGATTGCAATATAACGCTGTTTCACGAGTCGTGTGACATGATGCTAGCAGCCTCAGGGAACATTAACATTAGGACGTCTCATTAATGCAAATGCGCCGAACCTCCGAGCGACTGAACTAAGAAACAACATTCTTTGGATGTTTCCTTTCATTTGAAGAGATTGTATTGCAGCAGACACACACCTCAGATATAAGCAGGGTACCCAGAGAAAACTTGGGAATATTGGGAAATTTTACAATTATGCTTTTCAGACTAAAAAGTCACTGAAAAGTTAAGGATATTTCAATAGTTAAGATACATTTTTTAAAGATGTGCTGAACTCTACATTCTAAACAGATCTCTATTCATTAATCATAAATAGCTGGAAAAATTATGAAAATTTATTAAACAAGGGGTAAAAAAAATACAAATGAACTAGACCAAACAAATTTGGTATAGAAACAGTTTTCACTCAAATTTGTTTTACAATTAATTACAAAGAAACTGTAAGTAACACATTTAATTAAACATAACATTTTAAAGTAGAAAGAATGAAATAGCATTTCCATGTAAAATGTACTCCAATAATCTTTGTTTTATTCACAATTTCACAAAAAAAATTACAGTGTAGTATAAGGAAGGGAAGTTTTTAATGTGGCGATTTCATATGAATTTGTATGATGTGATTTGTATGGAAATTTTTAGAAATAAAGTAAGCATTAAGGTTGACCCCTAAACCTAACCGTCAGTGGGTCACAAGCAGATTGTATGAAAATGTGCAAATGAGCTTTTGTGAATTAATGGGAGCCACCAGTTTGCCAAAACCAAAAATAGTGACTAGACAAAAAAACGGTTTATTATGTCAAAATTGAGGAATTACACTTATCGAATGAAGCGAAAAGTTCTGTCATGTGTGTCCATCAGGACTGACGGGCACTGAGTCCAGAAGGATCCCGTGGCACTGTTTACTCACACAAATTACCTCCTGCAATGTCACCCCCTCCTATTTCTCCCAACCTTCTCGGATTTCTGCAGCTTTAATTAGAATTCCTCCAAACCCTTTTGTCGTCTTGTTAACTTAATTAAGTTTGGGCAAATAGCATTAAATTAAAACGTGTGCGTCTGGAAGGCAATTATGATGAGGAAGTTTAATGTGCACTTAAACGGTGTACTTCAAAAATAACATCACTTCTTAGAGCGGTTTGATGTCCCTTGTGCGCTTGGAAAGCTTAGAGCGTCATCCGTAGGTTTGTGTCTAGGCTTGACTTGAACTCTGTGATTTTGCAGTCAGCTGAGGCCAGTGGCCAACGACATGAACGATACCGTTCTCATTTCCTCCAGGGCGCCCACGCCTTCAAAAAGGTAAGCGTTCCACACAGGCTTCTGTCTGCATACTGATTGTGTGTGTGTGTGTGTGTTTTAAGCTCCTCCACTTAAGCCTGTTATGTAAAATGGCTTGTTTTGAAATTATGTTGCGCACGGATGATTGTAGCATCTTTCTCTGGGCGGAATATTTTCCATGTTTATTGCATCGCTGCAGAATTAGGTTGAATGTTTGCCTTTCAAAGGCAGATGACTAAAAGCATTGAATCGAGAAATTGGCCTGCTGTCTCCGAACCCTCTGCGCTTCCCGGGCTGGGCTGCAGCCCAAGGTGATCTACATTCTTATGCCAAGTTCTCAAGCAAAGGTTTTCAGCAGCTGAAAAATGATCATGCTGTCTTTCCAGCAGTATTTCATAATGTGACATTTATAAGAGATGGTTTGATGCAGTGTGTGAATTACACACAAACTTTCAGAGGGATTGACTTGTTGATTGACTGAGATGTTTCCTGCACATTCAAAATTGTCTCTAGCATTGTAAGCTTATCGTCAACAATCTTAAAGCTTTTGTATGATTTACATTTACACATGTTTTTATATGAAGCGAGTATATATTTTATGAGTTCATGCCTTCTCTGTGAATCGAACCCATGACCTTGGCATTGCTAGAGCCATGCTCTACTTTTTAAGCTACAGAAATGACAATTTCTTTTGAAAAGATACTTGCACCCAAGTGTCCCATGGTTTATTGCGCAACAGTTTGTATTTTATTATACTGGTCAACTCTGTTTATATGCAAACATTTCCATCAGCTGAAAATTCAATCCCAGTCTTTATAAGATCCACCATTCTCCGTTTATTTACAGCTGCTGCCAAAGCAGCCCGTTTCTTGCAGGATTTCTTGTGGCGCACGCCTTCATTTCAACACATATTGGAAAGTAAGTTGTTACATTTGTTGTTATAGTGTCAGGCCGCTGACAGTATACTCAATATTGGATGAATACTAAAATACTTACCGAGTCTCACAGCAACGCGAGTCATGACGGCAAATCACTTAAATGTACCAGATGTGGCATGTTTTGCACAGAGAGGGGTTGGCTTGTGTATTCTGCTCTAAATATAGCCCAGCGTCTAAGGCAGGACTAGTGGACGGGTAAACACTTCACCCTACATGAAGTCCCTCACCGTAAAGATCAGAGTCAGTCTAAAAGGAGCTGGCTTTACTTGACTCTTTAACCTCAGGCGATCGGAGATGCCATGCATTTAAATGAGGTCTGTGGTCGAGGGAGATTGAAGATGTTTCATCTCCGCTTCCATCAATAACGCGCCACTGGTTATGAAATCAAAGACACAGACTGTCAGACTCTCTACTTGAACCTTTCACCCAACATCACAGTCTTACGTTACAACACATTGTTTGTGTGAGTACGATGTCAAGTGCTGGTAATGCCTGCGGCGCCAAAAATGTATGCAGAATTATAATGCACTTAATTCTCGTCTCGACTCTTGTTTACTGGAGTCTGCCAAAATGGAGATGTTAGGGGACACAAGAAGTGCTCCTTAGCATTCTTATGTAATTATGCTGGGTTCAACCTGCCACACTTGATTACGTTTGTTAGAGTCGTGATGATTTTCAGTAGTCGATACCGATACCGGTGAAATTACACAGATTACTACTACTATTACAGGTGATCGTTTATTTGCACGTGCTATCTGCATTGTTTTAGCACCTCATTCGCTAAAGGAATTATGCAAATCAGGTAAAGCTGCAAGTGCATCAACAAAATCTGTAATGAATGCAATTCCCGATCTTTCAGGCCGGTGATAAATTCTTCGTTATATGGAGGATGCAGCAGACTACTGTGATCTGGCAAAGAACCCTTTACTGGGACTCAAGCGCTATTTCAGTCCATTTAGCAACAGGTTCAATTAGATTGTGGTTGGTTAGTGATTAAGATACAAATTTATAACAGCACAAGTACATTTTCACGATTCTAGTTACCTATTTTCTTCCACAGATTAAAAAAGTTAAATATGAATATAAATAATAACTAATTATTTATTACTTTAACTGATTAATTGCTGAGGTATATAAAGAGTTATCAAAAGCTCGAAAAGTTTTGAATCTGTTAGATGTTTTAAAATGTTTATTATTATTATGCTCACCAAGGCTGCATTTGTTTGATCAAAAATACAGTAAAAACAGTAATATTGTGGAATGTTATCACAACCTAAAAGAACTGTTTTCCATTTGAATATATTTTAAAATGTTATTTATTTTTGTGATGCAAAGCTGGATTTTCAGCATCGTTACTTCAGTCTTCAGTGTCACATGATCCTTCAGAAAAAGTTCTAATATTCTGATTTGCTGATTTTCTTCTTATTATTATTATCAATGTTGTAAACAGTTGTGCTACTTAATCTTTTTTTTGTGGAAACCTAACATTTTTACAGGATTTTTTTGATGAATAGAAAGTTAAACAGCATTTATTTGAAATAGAAATTCATTATAAATGTCTTTACTGTCACTTTTAATTAATTGAATGTGTCCTTGCTGAATAAAAGTATCAGATGCTTAAAAAATGTTACTGACCCCAAACTTTTGAATGGTAGTGATACATTTGGAAAGCAGCCGTGTGTCAGTACTGTGGCTGTGGAAAATTAGTCTCTGTATTACCAAAGTACTGAAAACGTTTGGTTTTGAACATTTTTCTTTTAAATATGTTATCTTAGTATACTGAAATACCAGAATCTTTGACATTGCTGATGTCTGCCATGTTGTAAACCGTGATTATATTTTGTTTGGAGAGTAATGCTGTGCATTACAGCTTGATGAAGATGAATGACATTGCTCATGCAGTTTATAAAGCAGACAGATTTATGTACACTTGCACACAGTTACAAAATCATCATCTTGTTTCATTTCAGTAGTGACACTTGGTACAAACCTGGGACGTGATCTGGGTGACGCATAAGTGGCAAGCAGTCACGTCTATAAACCTTATGGCCAATCCTTATAGTCTAACAGCCCGATTAAAGAGGAGGCACAAGAAAAATTACTGCATTAGATTATATATATATATATATATATTAGGGATGCACGATATATCGGCCACCATATCGGTATCGGCCCATATCGGCTCATTTTTTCTGTTATCGGTATCGGCCTGATAAGAAAATTTGGCCGATATCCAAAAATAAAGAATAATCGGTTATCGGTATCGGCCAAAATTTTCATATCGGTGCATCCCTAATATATATATATACCATGTGTATTATCTATATATATATATATATATATAGATAATACACATGGTATAAGACTGAAATTTATTCTCTAATATTAATTATAATGTTTTTATTTGCTATTAAGTGGGTGTCACGTGTTTGGCTGTAGTAAGGAATCACACGACGATGGAATACATACAGGAATCAACTTTAATAGACATCTCAAGGGAAACAACCAAACATAAAATGTAAACGGATTCGAACAGGGACTAGAAGGATATTTAAACGCTGGGATTAAGGAGATAATTGACAAGATAACGGGTGTGCAGAATGAACTAATCAGAACTGGGTCACAGGAAAAACACAATGGAACACAAAAAGATCATAAATGTTACAGTGCGTTAATGTAAATGTTTGTTTTTTTTACAAAATGTTTTTAATGAAAACCATTATGTGTTTTAACACCATGTGTTCTTGTTTCAAATTGAGCAGTATAATCAAGTCTATTTTTATTGTGTATATATATACTGTGTATATATATATATATATATATACACATTTTAATTAGTGTGTATTTTGAAGAAAAATTTATTAAAAAAAATATTACAACCCTTGATTTCTCTATCTTCTCAAATCATCAACAACAAGATTATGTGTGAAATGTTTTGGGCCTTGAACTTTCATAAGAAGTGTTTCTTTCTCTCTCTAACTCATTTTGGGTGTGATTGCATGGCCTTGTAGGAACATCAGAGCTGTAGGCAGGACTATGAGCTCGCGAGCGAGTCTCTCCGCTGACGGTGCACCTCTCCAGTCGGGCCTTCAAGGACATGTGGCCTTGTGTAGAATTTATCGTCTGCTGGGTCATGGCCAGTCTTGCTGCCAGAACAGAAATATAATTTTCCATTTGCTCCGAATGAGTTTTTAATTTGAAGTTAAGTGAGTATTGACCACCTGTCACTGGATATGAAATCATAGACTCCACCTCTATCACAGTCTAGCTGTACAGAGAATGTCTTTATCCACTTTTGCATTGGAAGAGGTCAGAGTATGCTTTTTATTTTTATTTTACATAAAATTTTTTCCCCCTTCAGGTCCATTTAGAATGTAAAGTGTTTGTGACGTTTATGACTTTTATATTCTTTTGACAAACTAATAATTATATGAAGTAGCTTGTTAATATTTATCATAATGACAGATGTTCACACTCACTTCTAGCTACCGTATATAATTTTATTTTGGTAATAAAGTTGTGATCTGTTTTTGATAGTATTTTCCCATTTTTGGACTGTATAGAGGAAGCGTGGAAGCTATGTGCCACCCATTTTTAATTTTCCATAAGGGACTGCGTGTTTAGACATTTGACTTTTTCTCTTGTACTCATTGTGTGGCTGGTGGATCACACACATGGGACTCCATTGTTATGATCGGTCTATAAAATTTCGATTGTGTTTGTTATTGTATTCATTGGTTTGCTTTGTTTTGTTTTGTTTAGATGCACTTTTATAAGTGTGTGCTAAATAATAATAATAATAATCTAATTGCGTATTTTAATGTTAACTGTAATTTAATATGTAATGATAATAATAATAAATAATAATAATAATTATAAAAATTTTAATTTAGTAATTTTTAATATTTCAAATGAAATGTTAATAATTGAATATTTTTGTAATAATATTGATCATCATCACTGTTATTATTATCATATTATTTATATATAATCATTTTTAATTTGAGTAATTTGATTTGGAATAAAGTGTGCAGAATGAACTAATCCGAACTGGGTCACAGGAAAAACACAATGGAACACAAAAAGATCATAAATGTTACAGTGCGTTCATGTAAATGTTTGTTTTTTTTACTAAATGTTTTTAATGAAAACCATTATGTGTTTTAACACCATGTGTTCTTGTTTCAAATTGAGCAGTATAATCAAGTCTATTTTTATTGTGTATATATATATATACTGTGTATATATATATATATATATATACACATTTTAATTAGTGTGTATTTTGAAGAAAAATTTATTAAAAAAAATATTACAACCCTTGATTTCTCTATCTCCTCAAATCATCAACAACAAGATTATGTGTGAAATGTTTTGGGCCTTGAACTTTCATAAGAAGTGTTTCTTTCTCTCTCTAACTCATTTTGGGTGTGATTGCATGGCCTTGTAGGAACATCAGAGCTGTAGGCAGGACTATGAGCTCGCGAGCGAGTCTCTCTGCTGACGGTGCACCTCTCCAGTCGGGCCTTCAAGGACATGTGGCCTTGTGTAGAATTTATCGTCTGCTGGGTCATGGCCAGTCTTGCTGCCAGAACAGAAATATAATTTTCCATTTGCTCCGAATGAGTTTTTAATTTGAAGTTAAGTGAGTATTGACCACCTGTCACTGGATATGAAATCGTAGACTCCACCTCTATCACAGTCTAGCTGTACAGAGAATGTCTTTATCCACTTTTGCATTGGAAGAGGTCAGAGTATGCTTTTTATTTTTATTTTACATAAAATTTTTTCCCCCTTCAGGCCCATTTAGAATGTAAAGTGTTTGTGACGTTTATGACTTTTATATTCTTTTGACAAACGAATAATTATATGAAGTAGCTTGTTAATATTTATCATAATGACAGATGTTCACACTCACTTCTAGCTACCGTATATAATTTTATTTTGGTAATAAAGTTGTGATCTGTTTTTGATAGTATTTTCCCATTTTTGGACTGTATAGAGGAAGCGTGGAAGCTATGTGCCACCCATTTTTAATTTTCCATAAGGGACTGCGTGTTTAGACATTTGACTTTTTCTCTTGTACTCATTGTGTGGCTGGTGGATCACACACATGGGACTCCATTGTTATGATCGGTCTATAAAATTTCGATTGTGTTTGTTATTGTATTCATTGGTTTGCTTTGTTTTGTTTTGTTTAGATGCACTTTTATAAGTGTGTGCTAAATAATAATAATAATAATCTAATTGCGTATTTTAATGTTAACTGTAATTTAATATGTAATGATAATAATAATAAATAATAATAATAATTATAAAAATTTTAATTTAGTAATTTTTAATATTTCAAATGAAATGTTAATAATTGAATATTTTTGTAATAATATTGATCATCATCACTGTTATTATTATCATATTATTTATATATAATCATTTTTAATTTGAGTAATTTGATTTGGAATAAAACTTACATATTCAGAATAACATTAATAATGACATATTACTGTAATGTTGCATGTACAATGTTGTGATAATACATAATAATTTAACATTTTACATTTTGATATTTCAAATACAGATGTAATATAATTGAATATTTGTCTAATGTTATATGTAATAATGATAAATAATTTTTTAATTGTAATGTTTCAAATGCAATTTTAATAATGTAATATTGTTGTAATGTTATAATAAAATAACAATAAATGATAATAATCACAATCACCATTATTATTATTATTATTAATGTTACATGTTGTAATAATAATAATTATATTATTTTAATTTAGTAATGTTTAATATTTCGAATACAGTTTAATATAATTTAATATTATTATAATGTTATATGTATTATTATTATTATTATTATAAAAGTTTGCAGGGGCATATTTCCAGTTAAAACATTTGAGGAAGACCCATTTGTTTCTCCTAGTTATTCACCCACATAATTTCCACCAAGTGAGGGTTTTTTTAGTTCCCTGCTATATACACTGTTTTTTTTAGTGCACATAATTTTGAACATACCCTCTATTTGTTGAAAGTGCTCCTCATTTCTTTGTGTAAAGCTTTTTAATGAGAAAAAATTACCCAGAGCACCTTTAAGTGTCAATATAATGGCCTAACAGTTGCTGTCAGGGTGCCATATCAATAAGAGGATTCCAGTGGATCATTCTCAGCATGACACTGATTATTATAAACAGCATGTCTGTCTGTGAGACGTCTGGCATGGAAACAACCCTCTTAATGAATCACTCCGCTGAGACTGTGAGAGTTCAGGAAGGTCACGGCGGCGGGGCCACAGGGACTGACACAGCAGTCCAACTCTATGCAAGCCATTTATTATCCTATTGTATTATCAGACTAATATAATTGTTGTGTTACATTTGATTGATGAATGCAGTGTGTGCATTTTGATAAATGTGTGTTTTTGTGAGGTGTCTAACTCACAGAACATACACATTCACACATATGCACACGTGATTCACTCCTAATTGTAGAGCACTTAATGAGGAAGGAAAACATATGCTCCGTCATCTGCTCCAGCCATATGCCAAACCCTATAACATAAGAGCCAGCCACACTACCAGAGCCTATCCACTGCACACGTCTGCGTTCTACATCCACTCAGACACAAGCTACCTGCTCTGAAGGTTTAAGGTGGATGAAAATGCTAATACTGATCTATTATAAATAATCTAATGTAATGATAAAAAAATGAAATGAATATAAAATCACTCAAATTAAATTAACAATGACAAAATATACTGAAAATCTAATTTTTTTAATAGTATATTATATCTTGACTTTGTATGTAATAAATTCAGCTAAATGCAGCTAAGTATTATATTATATTATTAATAGAGTATAATAGTATTATAATAAATTATATTATGTATCATGGCTGTACTTAAGCTGCTTTGAACTATGAGTAGCTTATAGCTTGAGCAGCCACGTTTTAGAGTATCTTCCCCAAAACTGTTTCCTGATGGTCATCTATCATCTCCGATGTTTCATTACTCGTGTTGATTTCTGGAATTCACATCTGCCATCATCCGTCTCATGCTCCATCACTCTCTTTGCCTCTCTTCTTCTTGCTGTATGTATTTCTTCTTATTCTGTCTCTCTGTCTGGACAGTAGCACCCTTGAGAGTCCCAGCAGACTGGATGAAGAACATCGTCTTATCGCGCGATATGCTGCTCGTCTGGCAGCGGAGGCCAGCAATTCCACTGTGAGACTCAACTCACAAGCACACTCAAATTACACCAATACTATACAACGGAAAGAAAAGAAAAACACCTTGTTGATGACGTTTTCAGAGGACACTTTTTATTTACTGTGTGGAATTCATGAAAATCTACAGCATGTTTATGCTCCATAACTAGGCAACGTATTTTTTTACGTGTTCATTTATCGGCATCTTTCTAATTAGTTTTGCGCATAATCAGTAATACTAATTATTTTGTCTTTCAGCAATGCCCTCCAACTGATCTGAGTTTCAACTTTGATGCTAATAAGCAACAGAGGCAGCTCATCGCAGAACTAGAGAATAAAAACAGGTGGGGTTTTGAATAGTTGGATGTTTCTTGCTTTGCAATGGAACTACATCTCTTTAAGCTAAATTAAAATAAGTCATTATGTGTTCATGTTTACTGTCCCATAAAAGAATAACAATAATTGAAATGCTGTAATCATGTAATATATTTAATTATTCGACCAATAAAAATATTTAATATTTAAATATTATTAACAGTTAAATTATATAGCAATAGCAGTAATAATAATAATAATTACTATTATTATTGTTGTAATATATTCAATTATTCAAACAAAACTTAAAGGGATAGTTCACCCAAAAAATGAAAATTTGATGTTTATCTGCTTACCCCCAGGGCATCCAAGATGTAGGTGACTTTGTTTCTTCAGTAGAACACAAACGAAGATTTTTAACACAAACCGTTGCAGTCTGTCAGTCATATAATGGAGGTGAATGGGAATCACGGCTAAAACCTACAATAAAACAAAAAAAACATACACAAACAAAACCAAATTAAACCCTGCGGCTCGTGACGATACACTGATGTGTAAAGACACGAAACGATCGGTCTGTGCAAGAAACTGAACAGTATTTATATCGTTTTTTACCTCGGATTCACGCAATGTCCGAACTGTTCGAACTGTCCTGAGCGCGTTCTCAACAGCAGGCGCGTGAGGCGTCTTCTTCTTCTTCTTGCTTTACGGCGGATCGCAGACTTATAAGTGCATTACCGCCACCTATCTCTCAAATGGACCATTGATACTCTATCTACAATCTCAATTAGGAGTGTCAATGGTCCACTTGAAAAATGAAATTAAATCATTAAATTAAATATTATTTAGAATTAATATTTATTCATTGCAATTAAATAATAATGATTATTATTAATGAAGACAAAAGTGATTACAGAGACTGTGTTACATTAGAATTGAGTGCTTTCAATAGGTGCCAGTGAAGTTAATTTTGGTTACTGTGTTTGGTGCCTACAGGGAGATACTGCAAGAAATCCAGCGTCTACGTCTAGAACATGAACAGGCTTCTCAACCCACCCCTGAGAAAGCCCAACAGAACCCCACTCTACTGGCAGAGCTACGGCTGCTACGGTACACAAACACATTCACACATTGCCTTTATACACGCATGTACAAAACAACAACAACAACAACAACCAAATGGATGTAGAATTAAACTTCAGATTACCCATAACTTCAGTTAACCAGAGTGTCTCAGAACATTTGTGACCCTGGACCACAAAACCAGTCATAAGGGTCAATTTTTTTAAATTGATATTTATATATCACCCGAAAGCTGAATAAATAAGCTTTCCATTGATGTATGGTTTGTTATGATAGGACAATATTTCACCGAGATACAACTATTTGAAAATCTGGAATCTGAGGGTGCAAAAAAATCAAAATACTGAGAAAATCACCTTTGAAGTTGTCCAAATGAAGTTCTTAGCAATGCATATTACTAATCAAAAATTTAATTTTGATATATTTACGGTGGGAAATGTACAAAATATCTTCATGGAACATGATCTTTACTTAATATCCTAATGATTTTTGGCATAAAAGAAAAATCGACAATTTTGACCCATACAATGTTTTTTTGGCTATTGCTAAAAATATACCCAAGCGACTTGAGCCTGGTTTTGTGATCCAGGGTCACATTTGAGGTTTTTAGGAACATAACAGGTTTTAAATAAACTGAGTGGGATTTCACTCATTGTTCAAGTCATTTAAACGGAGTACCTTTTATGGGCACCAGAGGGCATGTAGGAGCCAAATTAGTTTTCTTAATAATATGTTGGTCTCATAGATGAGTGAATGAGCACATTTCCATTATGTGCTGTTTTTGCCCTCTTTGTTTTAGTTTCATGGATATTTAGCCACATTGTGTGCATTTCTGAGCAATCCAATCGATTTCATGAAGGACTTGAGTGGAAAGGGGTCATATTCTGCACTTTTGTCTTGATTTTTTAATGTTAATCAAGATTTTGTAATTTAGTTTTTCATTTTACCATTATCCATTATTACCATTATTATAAAAGCTTTGTTTTTGGTACTCTACCTTTAAGAATAGTATATGCAATGTCCTCTACTTGTGGTTCTGAAGTCAATACTATTTTAGCATGAGCCATTTTTCCCCCTTAGAGGTTTTGTAAATTGTATGAGTGGGTTGTGGAGGGAGCTTTGCATTATGAAAATAGTACAAGGAGCTTTTTATTTCAAAAGAGCAAAGAAAATCCTGTTTTCCATCATATGTGCCCTTTAAGTCGTGTCTATTTGGCAGTCATTGATTTTTATGATTCATATGGTGATTCATTTATTAATTTTGTCTGTCATTTGGTTCAGGCACAGAAAAGATGAGTTGGAGAGGCGCATGTCGGCCCTGCAGGAGAGCAGGAGAGAACTAATGGTCCAGCTGGAAAGTCTCATGAGGCTGCTGAAGGTACGAAACTTGTTGGACAACAATTTGGCTCTTCATTTCCCACGGCATGTATGAAAACTTCATTTGTTTTCTCGTTCTGTGCTCACTTTTTGTCTCTTTTTTTTGGTTCACCTTTCTCTCTCCCACCGCTGTTTCTCTGACGTATCTGTTTTCACTCACTGTCATCTCCCATCTTCTGGCTGACAGGATGAAGAGCAGAAACAGTCAGTAAGTGTTCCTTTAATACAGCTCTGCAATTCTGGAGTAAACACGCAGAGTCACAGCTGGAAAAGTTTGAACTAACATATGTGTTGTGTTTGGCAAACCACAGATATTTCCAAAAAAGGTGAAAGGTAAAAGATTAATGGGTTGCATAACGCTGAAAATGGAGAGGATCACTGACAAAAATAAAAACTTCTGTCATTATTTATTGACCCTAATTTTCTTTATTCTGTGGAACACAAAATGAGATACTATAAAGAATGTTTAGGCTGCTCTTTTGCATACAATGAAAATGAATGACCTCCCCCCCCCCCCTAATGTGACTGCAGTCTGGCCAGCCATCTGCTGCCTGGCAGTGGGCCACAGGCCCTGGGCCCAGCATCAATCTGTGGGACAGTGCGGCTCTTTTCTACCATCCTTTTGCTCCTCTAATGGCACTTGCGTGCTGCTCAGTGAGCTCTCAGGCCAAAGATGTATGCGCTATAACCTAAAGAAACAGATCAAATATCTATAGGTGTGTCTGAAGTAGTAGCTTTTTATTAGTGCTACTTGGGGAGCGAGGGACCAATGGAGGTTCAGGTTATTACACATGTAGTGTAATTTTTGCGTTCTCCTCCCTCATCTCCCTCCTACAGGCTCAGACGGGGAGTTCGCCCCACTCATCTCCCAGTCACAGTGCCAGCTGCACCATGCCTATGCCCATCCGCTCCACCTCAGCCGGCTCAACCCCCACACACACGCCACAGGACTGCCTGGCAGGGGTCGGAGATGACGTGCTGGATGCCTTCTCTCAGGGTGAGAAGTCTGAAGCTTTGCATTGACATTATCATCCACACAAGATGATTAGAAGATGTTAATAAGATGATTGGAAGATGTTTATAAGATGATGATTGGATGTTTATAAGATGATGATTGGATGTTTATAAGATGATGATTGGAAGATGTTTATAAGATGATGATCGGAAGATGTTTAGCGCTAAAAATACCATAAATGTAGTCTATACAACTGTTATTGACTATATTCCAAGACATCTAATGCAATATGATAGTGAGGAACAGACTGAAATTTAAGTTGCTAAATTAATTTTGGATTGATATATTATAGCTCTGGATACTGTGATCTGAAAATGTTCCTCTTTCATCCAGGTGTACCAAGAAATCTCCGTAATGATCTTTTAGTGGCTGCAGACTCGATCACAAACACTATGTCGTCACTAGTGAAAGAACTTCACTCAGGTACATTTGTAGACTCACTTCTGTCTTCTAAGTACCCACTTCATGAGTTTAGTGGTAATTGTAATGTTTGTCAATTATGCAGTGGACGACGGTATAGAGGAAGAAGAGGAGAACATGCGAAATGGAAGGGAGAAGGGTGAGTCCCAAAGGCCTTGTTTGTCATTTTACCCTTATTTCTTACTTATTCCTTTACTTCTCTTCTCTCAGAATGACAACTGATATAATAATTAAAACAGTAAAGGCCCAAAGTCCATTTCCCTTGTAATAAGCTTCCAAGCTTTTATTTATAGGGATGCACGATATATTTGTATCGTATGAGTTATCGGCCAATATTAAGGATTTTATATATATATATATATATATATATAAACATTTTTTTTTACATTTACAAATTTACATACACTACCATTCCAAGTTTGGGGTGAGATATTTTAAAGGCATTAATGGTTGTATTCAGCAAGGACACAAATTGATCAAAAGTGACAAAAGACATTTATAGTGATACAAAAGATTTCAGTTTAATATATTTTTAAAAATGTCTATTTATTAAATAATAAAAAAAAAAGTAATTTCAACAAAAATATTAAACATCACAACTGTTTTCAAGATAAATAATAATAAGGAATGTTTTTTGAGCACCAAATCAGTATATTGGTGATGATCTCTGAAGGATCATGTGACACTGAAGACTGGAGCCGCTACGCCACAGAAATAAATCACAAATTTAAAATAAATTAAGGTAGAAAATAGTTTTTCACAATTCCACATGACTGATTTTACTGTGTTTTTCAAACAAATGTAGCCCAGACTTCTTAAAACATTATTTAAAAACTTTTGAACAGTAGTATATACGTTGGTTGATACTGAATATTTAATTCCACACATTTATTTGTCACGATGTGCCTACTATGAAGGAGCGAGGAGATGACGGAGCGAGGAGACGAAGCAGAATCATCATTGACTTTATTTAACACAGAGAAAACTATACGTAGGACACGGGGATCGACATTCAATACCGGACGACCAACTCAGAATAGGACACACTTTAAATACACGACATGATGAGGGGATGATGAGAAACACCTGGGATCAATAAACATAATTGAAACAGGAAACAGGAAGGACCAAATAAGGGCAAGGAAGGCACATGGGAAGCAAAACACACACAAAACAAGGAGCAAAGTCAGACATTACTCCCCCCTCCTGGAAGGCGCGTCCTGCGCCGTAACAATTCCACTAGGGAGGGGGGGGGGGTGCGCCCTGGAGGCTGGTGCAGGACTGGGACACGGGGAATACCTCCAGGGTGGATCAGTCAGTCCAGGGTGCCATGGCGGCACAGGGAGCTCAGGGGCGATGGCGGAGCAGGGAGCTCAGGGCGCCATGGCGGAGCAGGCAGTTCAGGAGGCCATGGCGGAACAGGGAGCTCAGGGAGCCCTGGCGAAGCAGGCAGCTCGGGGAGCCATGCCGGATCAGACAGTTCAGGAGGAACTCAGAAGGCCATGGCTGGACGGCCTCCGTGGCCTTGGCCTCGCCACTCGGCCCGGCCACTACGGACGGACACATACTACCCCCCCCACAAAAAAAATCCTTGGGGAGAATATCGTCTTTAGAGGCCCTCCGTAGGCCTAACTCGGGAACTGTGGCCCTCACTGGGCTTGACTTGGGGACTGGAGCTCTCCTTGGGCAGGACATGGGAACTGGAGCCCTTTCTGTGCTAGACACAGGGACTGGAACCTTCTCTGGGCTAAACTCGGGGACAAGAGCCCTCACTGGGGTAAACTCAGGGCCTGGAACCCTCTCTGGGCTAAACTCGGGACTTGGAGCCCTCCATGGGCTTAACTCGAGAACAGGAGCCCTCCGTGGGCTAAACTCGGGAACAGGAGCCCTCCTAACTTGGGAACAGGAGCCCTCCATGGGCTATCTCCTTGGGCAGGACATGGGAACTGGAGCCCTTTCTGTGCTAGACACAGGGACTGGAACCTTCTCTGGGCTAAACTCGGGAACAGGAGCCCTCCTAACTTGGGAACAGGAGCCCTCCATGGGCTAAACTTGGGAACTGGGAAGTGCTTACGAGGAGCGGGCACTGCTCTGGAGGAGCAGACACAGCAAGGCACTTTCGAGGAGCTGGCACTGGAGCGAACTCAGGGGCAGGAGCCGACACTGGAGTGAGCTCTGGGGCTGGAGCCGACACTGGAGCGAGCTCTGGGACTTGAGCTGACCGCCTTCTCCTCCTTAGATTCCCCTCAAGGTTCAGGGTGAAAGGCGTGGTCAGCGGGCTTGACTGAAAAACCAGGAGTGAGCCACGGCCGGCAGGCTTGGCTTCGGAACAGCCAGCGGGCTGGAGAGTGCCGCGGCCGGCGGCTTGACTGAGGAACGGCCGGCAGGCTGGTTCTGGCTCGGGCCCGGACACTCCTCAGACACCAGTAGATCCCTTCCCTCCAGCATAGTCCTTTGGTGTCTGGGAGGTCCATGGGGCTTTGGTAGTTGGCCCCAAGCCAGAACAGAGAATTGATGGTGGCATCATCCAATGCCGACGCCATGGCGAGCCCGCAGAATTCCCAGGCGTACTCGAAGAAGGGGAGATCTCGGCGGACTAAGGCGGAGAAACGAGCAGTGATTTCCATGATCTCGGGGGGAAACAAACAGGAAAACAAACACGGGGAGAGGGGGCGCCACTTACTGTTCTTGGTCCGGTATTCTGTCACGATGTGACTACTGTGAAGGAGCGAGGAGACGAAGTAGAATCATCACAGACTTTATTTAACACAGAGAAAACCACACGTAGGACACGGGGATCAACGTTCACAGACATTCAATACTGGACGACCAACTCAGAATAGGACACACTTTAAATGCACGACATGACGAAGGGATGATGAGAAACACCTGGGATCAATAAACATAATTGGAACAGGAAACAGGAAGGACCAAATAAGGGCAAGGAAGACACATGGGGAGCAAAACACACAAAACAAAGTCTGACATTATTGTCATCTAGTGCTCATTTAAAGTCTTTAAAACCAAAATCTTTAAAAATACACACACAAAAAAATCAATAACACTGTTAATCTTCAGCAAAATGAATATCCATTTTCATACTGTACAAGTGTACATTATAATGTGATGCCTAAATTCACTTGTAGCAGTATAAATATTTATTTATTTTTATTGATATAGACAAAGTAGTATAAATAGTATAAATCTTAATATCGGCCATTTATTTGTTCTTGGACATAGCATGACAATAATTATTGGATTATTGGAATTTTAATATCGCCGCATCCCTAATTATTTAACATTATTAAACATCCACAATTACCAGCTTATAGAATGTAGTCATTAGTTGATCATAGTTTCTTGGTTTGATTAAGGCCTATTTTCTTTCTTCTAGCTGAGTCAGAGTAAAAGAATATAGAATACTTCATGTAAGTATAAATAAGAACATTGTCTAGTCCTGCCCTTAATGCCAAAGTTAAATGTGCAAAGTACTGTGGAGCCGTCATGACCTCCTAACCTTAAATTTGTGTTTTGTCCAGTGTCATCGCTGAAGCATTCTGGGAAAAGGCACTCCACCCCTTCATTCTAATCCCCAGGAAAGAACCAGCGACATCAAAACCTCCCTGGCATTCGCACATAGACAAATGCATGCTCTTACCCAGCTGGGTTTCACTATGTGAAACAAATTCTTCATCAAACTTTGCACAGAGCAAGTTGTATTTATTAGAAAGTATATAAATATATATATATATGTATGTATATATATATATATATATATATATATATATATATATATATATATATATATATACTA